TAAGCTTTTACATCTGTTTGGATCTGTTCCTAGGGTCTTTCTTCAGTCCCACTGACCACTGTGTCCATCCCTCTGCCAATACAGCTAGGTAACACCTGAAAAGATTCCTGCTACCTTTATCCTTCTTGTTATTTCAATTCCTTCAGCTATTCTAGGTACATATTTTAGAATTCTTTTATTTATGCTACAAAAAAAATGTTGCTCCAATCTTAATAGGAATTGCTTTAAAACTGGAAGAACTGACATCTTAAGCCAGTTGAAATTTTAAACCCAGGAACACAGTAAGCCTTCATTTATTTAGGTATTTTATTTCCTCAGTCCACTTCTACACTTAGAGGTGCTTGGGTCTGTTATGTATTTTGTTGCACTTATACTTAAGAATTTCATTTTTAAGCAATTGCAAATAATATTGAATTGGTGAGTGTGTGTGTGTGTGTGTGTGTGTGTGTGTGTGTGTGTGTGTGTGTTTGGAGACCAGAGGTTGATGGGAGTATCTTCTTCAATCACTGTTTATTTTTTGAGACAGGGTGTCTCACTAAACCTCGAGCTTGTCAATTTGGCTAGACTGGCTGGAGATCAATCAACCTGTCTCCACCTCCCCAGGACTGGGATTACAGGTGTGCACTCTCACAAGCTTTTACATGGGTGCTGGGAGTGGAAGCCAGGTCCTTACACTGACACAGCAAGTTCCTTAACAAATGAGCCATCTCCCCAGGTTCTTGTATTTTTAATTCGGGTTTCTGTGTGTTTATTGCTACTATATAAAGTGATATTGATTTTTGTGTTTTTGCTTTGGCTTGCCTCCTTGCTGACCTCATCCTTCTGATATTTTATTTTAGTCTTTGTAGACTCCTTAGAATGTTTCTACATAGCTTGCCATGTGACCTATTTCCTCCTTCCTGACCTGTCTATCCTTTATTTTATTTTCTTCTTTTATGAGCTAGTAGAGTTTCCAATATCACATTAATTGTTTAAAGAAAAATTAACATTTGTTCTACACAATCTATTCTAGAAAACGGATTAGGGAAAACTTCTCAGTCCATTCCTTGATACCAGCATCACTAGGATAGCAAAGTCAGACAAATGGAGTTCAAAAACAATGAATAAATAAAAGCTATACACCATATGGCTCATGAGTATAGATTTTTAAATCCTCAATAAAAATACTAATACATAAAACTCAGCAATATATACATACTAGTACTAAATGGAGTGTCGTATTATTTTTTTTTAGTATGTACCCCATTCTTTTATTTCTGGCTTCTATAATATTTTTCTTCATTATAATACTATCAGTGAATAATTTATATAATTATTCAAAGAAGAAGAGTCCTCTTAATAACATAAAACTCCATCCTGACATAACTGCATTTCCAAAGTGCACATGGCCAGATTGGAAAAAGTGTCCAGTAGTCAATGAAGCTAAGATCCCCAAGATGTCACGGGAGCAAGCATTTTGTTCTTGTTTTTTATTTTGTTCTGTTTTTCTTGGAATATAGGATTTATTCAACGGCATGTTTTTATCCCATCCATTTTATTGGATTATTGGTAAAATTGTTCACAATGAAATCTACTACTTAATGAGACTTAACTGCTTTATTCAGTAATTACTAAATGCAGTTTCTTAGGATTTTCTCTTCGAAAACTTTTGATGTTGTCTCAGTATCAAAAGTTTATCAGCCATATTAATGGTGTGACATTTATAATCTATCATATTTATAATGTAAGAAAATTAAAATTTTAACAACATACAAAAAAAACATTTGATGAAATTTACTACTTTATCATTTTGAAGAAAAGAATCTTTCCAGAAATGAAAACTTCAGAGGTATATCCTCAGCTTGATGAACAGCATCTGTTTTAAATTATATCTATAAAGCAAAGGTCTAGGGCTAGAGAGACAGCTTAGTGGTTAAGAGCACATACTGCTCTTACAAAGGACCTGAGTTGGGCTCCCAGCACCCACATGGCAGCTCACAACCCCCCACAACTCCAGTTCCTGGGGATCTGATGCCTCTAGCCTTCATAGGCATCCTCATGTAAACACACACACACACACACACACACACACACACACACACACACACA